AGTGACATAGCTTGAAAATAATTTAAATTCGTCAAATACTTCCATATCTTTATCATATCATCATGTTAATATATCCCTTTACAATATATCCCTTTTCAATCAATACATTAAGTGTTTTTCGAATATCTCTAATATTTATAATATCTAGAATATCGAATATATCTCCATTTCTTTAGTAAGAAAACAAGTCCACTGTTCCAGATGTTCACGGCTTGTTTAATAAAATTCTGTTGTTGTACTTTTCACAAACTCTTCATCAATATTATTTGGTTTCGGAAAATGAGACTATTTTGCATCCCGGAGCTTTGTTTGGGAACAACGGGACAGGTGACCGAGAAAAGGGATAGTCCCGCACAAAACGGGACGTATGGTCACTTTAGTTATGTCAGTAACTCTAGTTCTGCTGCGGATATCCTCATTATGAACTCTATCGCAACACAGACAAAGAAACTTAAGGCATAGCCCGATCCATATTCGCTGAGTGACCTTAAGCTTCCTGATATGGCCAGCAGTGAAGGACCACGTTCCAGAACCATATGTGCGTCACATGAAGCCAGCGGTGAAGAGTTTCGGGGATATAATGTCACCTTGGCTTAACACCTCTCTGCAGGTGGATAGGTCTCGAACACTGATTCCAAACTTATATAAGCATCGTAGCCTAAATGTACAAACACTTCAATACTTCGATGTCAGTCAAACAAACAGTCAGAAAGTCGAATTGGCACCGTGGAAGGGACTGTAGCACCGCTCGAAATTTCGACGAAATCAAAGGTTCTTCATAGTTCTCCGACGCAAGATAAAGTGGCAGATTGTACTTTTCTGTCTTCTATATAATTTGTCAAAGGCTGTGTACATGGTCTATGGTACTAAAGTTTTTTCCGAAACCAGCTTGTTTGGGTGCTTGAAGTCTTCAAATCTGTCTACGAGATGATTCGAAATGACCCTCAAAGACGCGGCTGCAACGTAGCCCAACAGATCACTAAGCTGAATTGGCAATGGGCCGGCCGACCGATGTAGAGGAAAAGTTCTTGAATGGTAGCCTCAAAGTGGTGATCGAAGTCTAGTGCAGTCCCCAATCAGATGGAGTGATGATGTATTTACATATGCAAGATGTTTTTTAAATGAAATAAATGTGGAAATCGAGCACACAGCCCACCTGATGGTAAGTGGTTGCGGTGGCCCATAGACATCTACAGCTATCCTCGTTTGCGAGTCAAAATGCAGATGCCTTGTTAGCCTTGAGGACTAAGATGGAACGCCTCTTTTCAAGTAAAAAGGGTCTCCGGTTCTCTACACTCACCATACGAAACACAGCAGCATTAAGCTTGCTATTTGACGCTGGTATTCTGTGAGAGCGTGGTCCTTCCCCGGTCGAGCCGACCTATTCGTGCTACAACTATACTACTGATTAGTGTTGCCCAAAATCGGTCTTGGTCTTGCAGTCTTGGTCTTGTTCTTGCATTTTTGCAAGACCAAGACCAAGAACAAGACCGCCTCTTTTTAGCAAGACCAAGACCAAGACTGACCATGCAAGATTTGCGCAAGAACAAGAATAAGCTTGCGAGACTCTTGCGTCTTGCAGTTAGGACTAAGTATCGTTTCAGGGAGTATAGGAGTTCGGGTATACGCTTAGGGACTCTATGAGACGCAAAAAAATATAATGATAAAAAAATTGGAAAATTGGACTTATGCGCATTACGAACAATACCATAAACATACATAGCGAATGAAAATATCCATTAAAAGAAAAAAGAGTGCATCCCTAGTTTTGACCATCGGCACTTTGATAGTGCGCGGCGTCTTGTTGTCGGCGTCATCAAAGGTCGGATACTGACCTGTCAAAGAAATTGTGCAGCTATTCGAAAGTACAAGGTCAAGATACACGTGCCGGCGGCTACTATTGATATCGCATAATCGTCGCCGCCGCGCCACACACACTACATTTGACACTGTTTGATTGCCGCCACAGAGTACATGCTTCAAAGAATAAAATAAGTTTTCGGGTGCTCAGAATGGACACAAATACATTATCCTGATCTCGCAAGAAATATTGTAATTAGATAATAGGTAGGTATCATAATAATTTATTCTAGTAAGTAATTATTATAAAATTAACTATATGGATTTATAATAATTACTTACTATTATTAAGTGGCGAAGCTTGCGAAGTCACTTATTGATTTCACGATGTCTGTCCGTCTGTCCGTCTCGTCTGTTACGGACTGGCATAGGTTCGAGGCTAACCTCGAAACTATGAACTCAGAATACTTAGTCCAAGTGCCAGATGTAATTGACACCAAAGAGGTGGCCTTAGAAGCCATCTCTCACATCACCTGAACCACCACCATCACCATCATATGAACGATTTGAAAAATTCAAGAAAATCAAAAACATGCGACTAAGCTGATTGCTTCGCCACTTTGCTATGCTGTTAGCTTGCTAGGTTTATTGTTATTATTATTACCTAAAAGATAAACATGTTCAGTAAGTTCACTGCAAATCTCGACTTTTGCAAGTGTGTGTTTTTAAAACACAAAGTGCTCGAATATGTCGTCACACATTTGATAAATATGGTTGACACCATAGCAATTTTAAAACACTTGAAATGTGTAAAAATGGATCTGGATCTTGTCTTCAAGGCTTAGTTATTAAGGAGTTGGAGGGATACCTAGGTAAACCCAGAGCCGTCATCTCGGAAGACATTTTAGACTGTTGTAGGACGCATGAGACAAAATATCCGATTTTATCGAAGATGGCCCGTGATTTTCTTTTAATACCTGCAACTTCAGTACCTGCTGAGAGATTATTTTCTAAAGCATCATTAGTAATTAGAAAACATAGAAATAGGTTAAGTGATGAGTCAGCCAGATGGTTACTTTGTATTAATGCTTTGTCAAAAGAATAAATATAAAGTAACAGTAATGTCAAAGCTGTTGTGTACATACTGTGAAGTAATTTAATTTGCATCGTATTTTATTTTTTATTTAAATAAATTGTATATTGTATAACTTTTTTATTCCATTTCATATATGATTAGGGTCCATCAATCTCTTTCTAGAGAGATAATGTTATTTAAAATACAGTGTAGTTATTGCCATTAATTTGTTTTTATATGTATGTTTAACCATGTTTTAGCACATGTAAGCTTATTAAATGTAAACGTTTATTAAGAAACTGACGCCCGTGGCCGTGGGACACGGTAGATAGCTAAGTTGGTTAGAGCATCGGCACGGATCGCTTAGGTCGTAGGTTCAAACCCCACCCGGTGTCACTTGATTTTTCGAATTTCTCATTAAATGTTTAGACATTTATTAATATGGTTGGTCTTTACTATGGCTATGTTAATTCAAGCTCAATATGTACCTACTCTGTTAAGTTGTTCTAAGATCAAAAGTAACGTTTAATAATTTTTTTCAATTCCAGTTTTTCGCTCCGTATCGTTCGGTCGCATTTACTATTTGCTCCGATTGGTGCAACCGGTGCAATTTTAGCCAGTGCTTCTCAAACTGTTCATTATCTAAGCTTATAAGTTGTTAATACCTGTCACAATGGACACTCACAATTGTGGTGCATGTGGGGAGTTGTTATCAGAAGGTCCTCACTGTACTGTATGCAATCAAGAACTACATTTTCACTGTGCTGGAATAACTGAAGCTGGATATCGCAAGCTGGGAGATAGGAAGTCTACCTGGCGATGTGTCAAGTGTAAACAAACTCACTCTATCCAGCCTCCTTTATCACCAAAGGTCGAATCCGATGCACTAATACTTAAGGAGATAAGAGCTCTCTCTGATAAACTGGCGCCATTAGAATGTCTTAAAGATGAAGTCATTGCATTGAGAACTGAATTTGCTGATCTTAAATCTTCACTAAATAATACTAACGTGGCGCTAAAAGAATTTAATAACAAAATTAAGGACTTCGAACAGCGTCTAGTACAGATCGAGAAAGTGCAAAAACATGCTAACCTAATTCAGACTCGGTTAGAAAAACTGGAGCAGGAGTCGAACTCTGCGGAGCAATGGTCAAGAATGAATAATGTTGAAATAAAGGGAGTACCTCAGGCAAGCGGTGAAAATTTGTTTGAAATCATATCCAAAATTGGGTCTAAGATACAATATCCGATTACAAAGACTCAGGTAAATTTCGTTACAAGAGTACCAACCCGTGAGAAAGAGCATAACAAACCGATAATAATCTGTTTCTGCAATCGATATGTGAAGGAAGATTTTGTGGCGGCAGCCAGATATGCATCGAAAACTAGTCATCTCACATCAGGCAACATGGGATTTGTGGGCAATAATAGGATTTATATCAATGACCACCTAACCATGCACAATAAGACCTTACTTTCTAAAACTAAAAAGGCAGCGGTTGAAATGAATTTTCGTTATGTCTTGGTCAAGCATGCCAAGATACATGTAAGAAAGACCGATACGTCGCATATAATTATGGTGAAGTCAGAAAGAGACCTTACAAAAATAGTGTGATGTTAAACTTATTATCTCTTTGTTCTATTACTACCATTATTCATAATTTGTTTTTGTATTACTCGAAACTTGTAACATTGCAGTTTGAGATCCATGCGCTGTCGCTGCGTGTTAACGTATTCATTTTGTTGTGCAATTGCGTATTAATTTACATTATAATTTATAAACATCTTACCAATGTGGATAAACTATTTTTAAATCTTATTACGTATAACTGGGTTCGCTTTTGGTCTATTAATTTACTATCAAATATGAAAGACGTTTGTTTGTTGATTTTCTGTACTATATATACTATTGATTTTACTTATTGGTCATTGGTCGTGGTCGTAAGCATTCGAGAATCGCGTGTTGCATATTACGGCGCATTGTTCTACGTTTATAAATTATCTACCCGCTTTTATATAGCATTTTTGTTCTTTGTTTTAAATGTTCCTTTTATTTTACTATTTCATTTACTTTTATTGAATTGCTGTATTGTGATAAGATATTTAGTCATAGTTAAGCTCAATCATGGAATCGATTAAAATATATTACCAAAATGTACGCGGTTTACGAACAAAAACACTTAACTTATTTAGGAACGTATGTTTAAATTCGTATGATATTATTATATTCACCGAAACTTGGTTGGTCGATAGTATACATAACAGTGAATTATTTGATGACCGATATTTAGTATGGAGGCGGGATCGCAATTATTGTAGCACGTCACAAACGCGGGGGGGTGGTGTACTAATTGCAGTGAGGAATGATCTTTCGGTAGTGGAGAGGGGTGACTGGCGTAGTTCAGCGGAAGATATTTGGGTCTCTATTTTGCTAAAAAGATCCAGGCCGCCAGTGACATACAATATAAACATTTGTGCGCTTTACCTGTGTAGAGAAAATATCGGTAACTCATATAATACCCAATTGCTAAATTTCACACAAAATATTAATACCATAATTCTGTCTAATCCGTGCGACAAATTCATAATCGTAGGTGATTTCAATTTTGGTAGTCAAGTAGATTGGAATGTTTGCAGTGATAGTGGCGAGTTGTTACCAACCAATCACTCCTGTCAATATATTTCTGATTTCCTTGACTCTGTTAACACCTGTAGCTTATCTCAGTATAATTGTATACGTAACATAAATGGGAGACTACTTGACTTGGTTTTCTCTAATGACCTTGTAGATGTTAAGGAATGCTATGAACCATTAGCAATGCCCCCAGATATGCACCATAAGCCTTTGGTTATAAAGGCTGATTTTGTTGAATTACATAAACTAGATGATAAAAAGAAAAACAATTATCTCTTTCACAAAGGTGATTACGTGGCTATTAGTTCAGCTCTTGACCAGGTAAACTGGTATGAACTTTTGGGGAATGACTCTCTAGACAATGTGGTTACTCTCTTTTATAATAAATTGTATGAACTTAGGGAACAGTTTATTCCCATAAAATCCACTAGACGCTCGTCACACCCTCCATGGTATAATTCTGCGCTACTAAAGGTCTTAAAAGAAAAACACAAGTATCATCGTAAGTTTAAGTTATATGGTAATTTATCCGACTACCAATCTTTTTCACTATTACGTAAAAGGGCTAACCAGTTAGAGCGAGTCTGCTTTGAATCCTATATTGATAAAATCGAATCTTCCATAACTAGTAACCCAAAAATTTTCTGGTCTTTTATAAAAAGTAGGAATAATGCGTCTACTACTCCTAATGTAATATATTATGAGGAATCTTCTGCAAACACTGGTGAAGGTATTAGTGACTTATTCGCTAAATATTTTAGTACTACTTTCGTTGAACCAGAATTGGAAACTTCTAATTCTAAATTATTTCCCATAACTGATTACAGTATTAATAGTATTAGCTCAATACACGTCTCAGATAAAGGTATCTTGAAGCTATTACAAGGCCTCGACATCTCTAAATCTGGTGGCCCCGACCATATACCACCAATATTTATCATAAATTGTGCGAAAAGCTTAGTCAAACCCATTAGTATACTTTTTAAGCGGTCATTAACAGAAGGAATAGTTCCACAAGTTTGGAAATCTGCCTTCATAACACCGGTATTTAAAAAAGGCGACAAGTCGAATGTCGGAAATTATCGTCCCATCTCTAAGTTATGCTTGTTTTCTAAAGTTCTTGAAAGAATCGTTTATAATGAAGTCTATTATGCAGTACAAAATTATTTGGGTGATGAACAACATGGGTTTCTTCGAAGACGTTCAACTACTTCTAATCTCATCACGGCTAATGAGTACATCACTAAAGGTATGGATCAGCGTGCACAGGTAGACGTAATTTACACAGATTACAGCAAGTGCTTTGATCGTATTAATCATCGTGTTCTTTTACAAAAGTTGTTAGCTTCGGGAATACACGGTGACTTGTATAGGTGGTTTTGTTCGTATATAGAGAATCGGACGCAGGCTGTTGTTTTGCGTGGTTACATGTCTGGTTGGTGCTCAATCCCATCTGGTGTTCCTCAGGGCTCATTACTTGGCCCCCTATTATTCACAATATTTATTGCCGATATTAAGTCATGTTTTAAAAATTCTCTCATACTACTTTACGCCGATGACATGAAAATTCTTAAAACTATTCATAATCTAACAGATGTTAAACAAGTTCAAGAAGACCTAAACAGGTTTTCTGATTACTGTAAACTCAATAAGCTTCAATTGAATATCTCCAAATGTTCTCATATGACATTCACACGACAAAGATCTAGTATTGGGTTCGGTTATACTCTTCATAATCAGACTATCAGCAGGGTAAATCATATTCATGATCTCGGCGTAATACATGATAATAAATTCATATTTGACAAACACATTGAATATATTGTCAACAAAGCATCCAAGGCTCTTGGTTTCATTTTAAGAACTTCATCCTGCTTCCGCTCTCTTAAAGCTGTTAAGATTTTGTATTGCTCATATGTGCGAAGCCATTTAGAATATGCATCTCAAGTATGGAACCCACAGTATATTGTTTACATATCTCGTATTGAAAGTATACAAAAAAAATTTCTGAGATACCTCGACTTCAAGGCACAAATAAATTCAGCCAATTATCTAGAAAGATGTAAGAGATATCATTTTTTACCGTTGGAATATAGACGTAAAGTCAATGATATTTGTTTCTTAGTTAATATTGTAAATGGATCTATTGATTCTTCTGAGCTACTTACTCACATAATGATTCGAACCGATTTAATGAGATTTAGACAGCGACCCCTGCTATATATACCTCTTGCTTCAACGAATTATAGAAGAAATTCCTTCTTTCTGCGTAGCGCAATGGAATTTAATAGACTTTCATCTGTAGTAGATATTGACCTATTTTCTACTAGTTCTAAATTTGTAAAAAAAGTGATGAACAGAGAATTTTTCACTCACAGCCGCGACTAGCATGACTCATGTTGCAACCTCTTTGGTCTCACGGAAAGTTGAACTATGCGGTTTTTTTGTAATTGTTTTTGCCTATTTTTTGCTTATGTTATTTTTTTTTGTAAGTAGTTTAAGTAATCCCTAGAGTATTTTAAATTTGTATAAAGTTGGATGAAAGTAATGTGTGGAGGCTTGTAATTAGCAATTCTTATCACCACTTTGTTACTACCGAAGATATTAGTCTGTAAGCCTTCCTAAAATAAATAAATAAATAAATAAATAAATAAATAAATAAATAGTAATAGGCTAATAGATCATTGCGAGACTTGCGAGACTCTTGCTGCAAGACCAAGACCAAGACCAAGACTGGGAGCGCAATACCAAGACCAAGACCAAGACCAGGTGTATTGGCGCAAGACCAAGACCAAGACTTGCTAAGTCTCGTCTTGTTCTTGCATTTGGGCAACACTACTACTGATATAGCTGCGGCATGACTCTACTACGTATAAAAAATAAATGTATAACACCACTATTCGAATTACCATCTTCGGCTGCATCACCACTTCATCACCATCAGGTGGGATAATATTATAATAGTTAAGTAAGGGTTTCTCGCGCAACATACGCAATTGCAATTTTCATTACTGATTTACCACGTGTTTAATGAAAGAAAACATAGTGAGGGAACATGTATGCTTGATAAATAAAATATTTCGAAGGCATATGAAGTCCACCAACATGTATTGAAAGTCTATGCAATGTCTAGAAATTCGCCTAGGCATGCTGTAGGTATTTACAATATGTATATATACACAGTCAGGTCATAAATATGGTCACACAGTAAAAACTTTTCTTTTAGAATGCTGGCCACAAAAAAGTTTATTGAATTCGAATTTCGAATTGTTCATGAAAATAAAACTGTATACTTTTTAGAATTTTACTCATTTTTAAATATGGAGTGTACGCTTAAAGAAGACCGTGTTGCAGTTATTGCGTTGCATCGTTGGCCGTTGTGGTTACGCGCCAATTCAAATTTTTGACATACAAAAAATTTGAATATAACCAAAAGATTCGTTTATCGTACCATGAAACGATACAATGAAAACTCTAGTGTAGATGACAGGTCAAGAAGTGGTCGCCCTCGGTCTGTTAGGACTCCAGAAGTGATAAATCTGTGAAGGCGCGAATTCAAAGAAATCCCAAACGTAAGCAGAAACTGTTGGCCCTTCAGATGGGGTTAAGCAGAACCACGGTGAAAAGGGTGTAAAATGAAGACTTAGGGCTTCGGACATATCGAAGAAAAACAGGACATCGTTTGCTCGTCTAATGTACCTGAGACTGAAGAGATGCCGCGCTTTGTTGAAGCGGTACGCGGGAATAAAATATCGGGAAATTATTTTTTCGGATGAAAAAATTTTCACCGTAGAAGAGAGCTACAACAAACAAAATGATAAGGTGTACGCACACAGTAGTGAAAAAGCGAGCAACCGTATTCCGCGTGTCCAACGAGGTCATTTTCCATCCTCGCTCATGGTATAGTATGGAGTTTATTATTGTGGCTTAACAGAGGTACATTTTTGTGAGAAAGATGTAAAAACGAATGCAGTTGTGTATCAAAATACAGCCCTGACGAACCTTGTGGAACCTGTTTCTCATACCATGTTCAATAACAGGCACTGGATATTCCAACAAGATTCGGCGCCAGCTCATAGAGCGAAGAGCACACAAGACTGGCTGGCGGCGCGTGAAATCGACTTCATCCGGCACGAAGACTGGCCCTCCTCCAGTCCAGATTTGAATCCGTTAGATTACAAGATATGGCAACACTTGGAGGAAAAGGCGTGCTCAAAGCCTCATCCCAATTTGGAGTCACTCAAGACATCCTTGATTAAGGCAGCCGCCGATATTGACATGGACCTCGTTCGTGCTGCGATAGACGACTGGCCGCGCAGATTGAAGGCCTGTATTCAAAATCACGGAAGTCATTTTGAATAAACTTTAGTGTCATAAGAATCTATGTTTTGTTAAGTTGATTTTGGTATATAAATGGTTACATAATGAATCAACTTGTTTCAATTATTTTATATTAAACATGTGACAGAATTTATGACCTGACTAGGTATCTAAGAGTACAGTATAGACTGCAATCTTAGTTTAGAGAGTATTTGTGCACAGAATCTATAAGAAATTTACAAAAACAGCAGTTTCTACATGGTAGGACTATTTTTTTACCTAGGCGTCCATCTGGGTAAGTACCACACTCCGGTCTGAAGGTATTGATAGATAGATACATACATAAATAAATAAATAAATACATACATACATACAAACATACTTGTATTAACTATCACGCCTGTTACTCAGAGGGGTAAGCAGGGACTACGGACTTCCATTATGTAGAGAACCAGTAGATATAATTTTTTTTTATAGTATAGGGTGACAAACGAGCACACAGTTCACCTGATGGTAAGTGGTTGCTGTGGCCCATAGACATCTACATTTATCCTCGCTTGCGAATCAAAGTGCAAATGTGTTGTCATCCGTGAGGACTAAGATGGAATGCCTCTTTTCCAGTAAAAAGGGTCTCCGGTTCTCTACACTCACCATACGAAACACAGCAGTTTTAAGCTGCTATTTGACGCTGGTATTCTGTGAGAGCGTGGTCCTTCCCCGGTCGAGCCGACCCCTTCGTGCTACAACTATACTACTAATATAGCTGCAGCATGGCTCTACCACGTGCCAGACTGTGAGGCATGCCATCTTAGTTCTCTGTGGTCACAACGCATCTGTAGCTTTTTTAAAGTTGGTTGGTTGGTTTTGTACCAGTAAATTCGCTTTTAGATCGTATGTCGTTGTAATTTTATACATAAAACGTAACAAATTTTTATTGCAGATTCTTTTTAATCGACTTCAAAAAAGGTGGAAGTTATCAATTGAGATGTTTATATGCTTTTTTATGTATGTGCGGGTATAACTCTGTCATATATAGACGGATGTACAAAATTATTTTTGAAACGAACGAACTGAAACGAAAGTGTACGGTGTCGAAATGTATTTATTATTTTTTTGTAAAAAACTTAAACATAAATTAAGCTAACTTTAACGATAAACTTTATACAAAACAAAGAGTCGAGTCCAGCGGTGAGTCACTTCGTATATCAGGAATCGAACTCGAACGAGTCGTTCCCCACGACTGGCTCACCGCTGGTTAACAAACCCGTGAGCGCGCACAGTCGCAAGCGTTGGGGCCAGGTCTCAACGGCCAGGTCGCCACCACCTACATTGTACGTGGTGATCGACCTATTGACTTAAACATTCGGGCGAGAGATGTCAGGCTGCCCGAATAACGAACACGCGAGGCATTCGATCTGTTTAGTAGGGGGCGCCGTAGCTGCTGGAGGGGGCGCCGTACGACGAAGATGGGTAGCCTCCGGAGCCGCCGGACTGCTCGTACTCGGCGACTTGGATAGCCTGACGGACTCCCTCAAGGTTGATGCCTACAACTCGGCTGCTGTATCCGGGAACGCCGTACGATGAGGAAGGCGCGCCGTATGAGGATGAGGGGGCACCGTACGAGGTGGAGATGCCTTGGCCGCCGTGACCGCCGCCGTGACCGCCACCGAAACCTGAGCCGGATGACGCTTCCTCCTTAAGGAGGATTTGGCGCACTTGCTCAAGGAGCTGGGCGTCGACGTGCTGTCCTTCGGAGGTCTGGTAGCCGGAGGAGACGGGGCGGAGAGGTCCGCCACCGCTCAGGCCGCCGCTGAATCCTCCAGAGAAGCCTCCAGATGGACGGTTGTAGCTGTAGCCGGATGGGGGCTCAGCACGGGCGCAGGCAACCAGCGCAAGGGCTATGCACTGTAAAAGGAAATATAATTAAATGAAATAAAAAATTAAATTGATAAATAAATTAAATTTTTACGTGGTAGAGCCACGCTGCAGCTATATTATGGTTGTAAAACGAATGTGTGGATAGAGAAGCTGAGAATGCCTACGACCTAGTGCTTCATCATAGTTAACCCCCAGGTGGGATTGCAGTCAAGCACTTGCTTATAAAAAGTAAAAAAAATCTAAATATGTAATACTGATTTTATAGGGGATATGTTGTATGTCCGAGATACTATTCACTGAAAATAAATTTGTAAATACAACAGTTTGTTAATGAAGCTCCATAAATGTAGTCACTAATATGTTATTAATATTGCAATTAATTATATTAATTATGCAATTATTGCATGTCGACTTAATATTTGCACACTGATAAATCGGTAAAACATGCATGTTCACATTATATTATAAGACCTAAAAATGTACCATGTTTTATGCAAATAAATATTTTATTATTATTATTATTATTATTTAATACTGGAAAAAATGATGAAGCATTACTTTCTTTTCTCCTACATGGTCATTTTTAACACGAATGACGCAATTGTACTGAAATTAACATCTCTTTGGTAACTTTCAAATATGTGATGATAACATTTACTATTATGCCATTGCTTTGAGAAATCTGTACTTAAGGGATTATTTTTTATTTCAAAGCTGGTGCTTTTCAAGCGAATTTAAATTATACCCTATATAAATTTGATCAAGATCTGATCAGTACTTTTTGAGTTATCCTTAATATGTGTATTTAATTGACTTTGCCTACATTGATGATGTTTTTATTTTATTTATATTGAAGTCGGTTGTACATTTTTAATTTGACTATTTGTTAAGAAAAAAGTCCGCAAAAACTAATTGGTGCAGCGTGGCAGACATTTCCTTGTCCTAAGAGGTCTGTGCCCAGCAGTGGGACGTACTTGTATAGGCTGTAATTTTAGTTTAAATTTTAAGCCTATATTTTATATTTGCGTTGAAGAGTAGATGCTCATAACTTTTATTTAATACCAGTTTAAATAATTTTGTTTTATGAATTAAAAAGTAATTTCGTTTACGTTATTAAATTGTCATGACTTTCAACAGGCTGGTGCAACTTCCATAGTAAAAATTATATGTACTACAGGGGTCAAATTTTAATGACGGTTACTCTTCTTTATGCTTTTCATGATATGTCTATTATCAATATTGTCAAATGAAATAGGTTCAAATGTCAAATCAAGCAATTATATTTGTATATGTTTTATTAATTAAGATTGCTTTTAATTTTGCTATAGGAGCCGTTGTTCATTTACAGAGTTGTTAAGAAGTTAAATATGCATTATAAAACTTTCCAATTAAATGGTGCAAGAAGCGGAAAAAATGATAACAAGAAAAGGCTATTCGTAATAATATTTCCCTTAGATGATGAAAGGTATGTGGTGATTTCAACTTTAATAGTAGTATGATATTCAACGCGAGTATATTTTTGGACTAGCCATCTATGTAGGATATGTTTTTATAGTGTACGATTGTGTGCACAAATACAAACACACTATTTCCTAAATCTGATAGTTCGATGGTTTGGCAATCCGAAACGAACTATACTTAGAAACTACAAGTCAATTCTGACTGCTTACATTCTATTTGTTCAATAATAATGTGATTTTATTTTTATTATTTTTTCAGATGCAAGCAATGGGTGAAATAGCTGGCACATGCACCAATTGAAAAGATTCACATGTTAAGACATATTTGTGACAAACATTGCATATGAACCCAACTAAAACGAACTATTTCTTTAGTGGACTTACTTTAAACTTCCACAATTTATGTGTATGTTAATTAGGTTTCATTTACATGTAGCAAAAGATAATATCCCTCTAAAGTCACATTTTGGCAAGAATTAGGTTATATAACTAAATCATTATTTTATTCATCAATAAACATTAGCTATAATGAGCACTTATTTTGAAAGCGACAATTAGTAAACGATCTCTGCGAATAGTATGTACATAGGTGTCTCTGTGAAGAAGCCTAGCGATTTGTACATAGTATTTGTTACACATAAAGGCAATTTAATCCAATCAGTATTAAAAACCCAATATTTTTACCCTTAAAAAAACTAACGTTGAAAACAAGCATCCAGACACAGACTATTTATTTTACAGCATAGCAACAATTGTTCAGTGCGGGAAGGAAGCCTGGTCCAGCAATGCCGCAGCCAAACGCTTAGCCACTGCGCTACGGAGTCGTCATTTATTTTTTACTTAATGAATTACTAGTATAAAAGTGCGTTTTTTATTTTATATTTTTTTATACATACTTTTGTACCTAATTGTAGAGATATAAATACAAATTGCTGTGTGTAAAATACATTGATTTCTTATCCTCATCGGTATTTTTACTCAATCCACACGTTAAAAATTTTATTTCTCATAAATAATTCAGTATAGAGATCTAACTTTTCGTATGTAAAAATATCGATAAACAATATATCGATAAAGGTTATATCGATAAAATTATTCGAGGATAGACATTCACAGTACTATTGTAATTCGTCAATGTTGTCAGCACTGTTTCACAAAACTAAATGTCATATCTTGATGTTGGTAGAGTAACTTGGCGTAATTTCAGGCAATTATTTTTACTATGGAAGTCCCGCCTCTTAAACGTAGTGATTATATTCTCTTTGACTTTCAATTTGAAACATGTTTGACCACAGATTAAATAATGTTACTGCGGTTTGACATCGTGTCACAGTTTAACTAAAAGTTACTACGTAAATCGTGTTCTCATCTTGACGGCGACTATACCTAAATATCTATGCAAATTCAATGCATTATTTAATATCGCTACCAACGTATTCGTTTTACTGTTTAATAATCTTAGATAGAAAATAAAATACACAACAAGCAAGGACATTATAATTAATATTACTTTTAATTCTCTTTAATATTTTAATATCTATTTTTAGTAATCCAATTGAATACTGGCTGAATTTGTAAAAAATAAAAAGCAAAAAGTGTTTTGGGACAGGCAAATGTTGGCATACTTTATATTTTTTTTTTATAATACTGAATTGACAAAGGAACTAAGAGTCCACCTGATGGTAAATGGCTACTGAAGCCCATGGACATCTGCAATTATCTTCAAAAAGAAGGCTACAGATATGTTGTCACCTCTGAGGACTAAAATGGAATACCTCAAAATCTGTAATTATACTGGCCTTCTTTATCTATATGTTTAGCGGCGGAAATATGTAAGAGGCCAACCTCAACCCATATAACCTTTTATGCAGGAAGGGAGTTCTACCGCCTAGTAATGTCCTCGATTCCTATTTTATTACAGGAGCAGGTAGTAGTTTATCAACACTTTAAATTTCAATTAATCAAACTGGAATACTATGAAATTTTAAGTAGAGTTTTTATTCCCCGTGCTGCATCGGTCTTGTTAGCTTTTAGCTCATATGAGCTATCACAGCTAATCATTGCGAAGAACTAAGCTCTTCTCCAATCTTGCTGGCACTAATCAATTTGTAAATTGCAATTTTAGTGCTGATATACCATATACTCTGAAAAATAATATAATCTGAGGATATTGTAAGGCGGTAGGACTTAGGGTTAAATGTAATAAATATTTTGAAGATATATAAAGTCGAACACACAGTGGAGTTGAGGGGCGAATTCATAACTCAATAACCCTCTCAGAAGTGAGAGAAGAAACGAAGGAATTTTTACGTGGTAGAGCCACGTTGCAGCTATAATAGGTATAATACGAATCGGTCGGTCCGACCGGGGTAGGACCGCGCTCTCACAGAATATCAGCGTAAAATAGCAGCTTAATGCTGCTGTGTTTCGTATGGTGAGTGTAGAGAACCGGAGACCCTTCTTAATGGAAACGATTTCATCTTAGTCCTCAGGGGTGACAACGCACCCGCATTTTGATTTTTAACCGAGGATAAATGTATGTCTATGTGCCACGGCATCTATTTTCCATCAGGTGGACTGTGTGCTCGTTTGTCACCCTTATTCTATAAAAAAGGAAAGGTCCTAGCGCGCTATGATAATTCACTAGTAACAATGTAGACAAACAAAATCCAACGGACGATGTTTTTGTAGCTCTTCAAGATAATTGGAAGTGAAACGTGTGTTGCGGTCTCGCACGTTGTATACGAGGTCAAGTGATAACGTAAGGTTGTGGTTTTCTAACAGTTATCGCCGATCTTTACTTTCTTTTCGTTGATGGCGCGTTTAATGACATGAGATGAGCATGTTGATGTTATTACACTATTAAATAATAGCAAGTACCGGAAGTAATGACTATTTTGATGTTGCAGTTTCTGTCCAAGTACATATTACAGTTAGTAATTAATATTCGTCCTTACTAATTATTTAAAAGAAAACTATATAAAAGACCTACACATTTGACTCAACAAAATCCATCAGAAATCGGTTAAGATAATCTTGTGAGATTTCCTAGGAGAGCCTTCTAGGCTATATAAATGAATCTTAAAGAGATAATTCTTCAGCTTTCTATTTTACTCCTCCAAATCCTAAAGCAAACCCTTGCGTTTACGTCACTGTGTATAATATTTTATAACAAATTTCAATCATCTAATGTGACATGTATCTATGAAACATAACATTAAGAAGTATTCTGTTTTGATAATTTTGGCGCTAAATACTAACGAACATCATAAATACTATGGTATATTGTTTATTATTAGTATTTCTACTAGTAGGTAGCTGAACCTAAGTTGATGCCAGCAAAGCCATTGGAAAACAGCTAACATTTCCGTGATATTTACAACCATAAAATATTAAAAATAAAATTGTTACTATCAATTAAAAATATTTAAATTTACTTGATATTAAACGACAGAAATAAAAACATTACCTTGTCGTTTAGTTCTACTACTTGTTTTTAATTGTTACTTTTTGGGTAACGGGGCCTAAACTATTTAGAAAGTACGATCTCTTGGGTGGAATTTTTCGACGTAACAAAATGAAAGATCAAAAAGACATCCATATATATAAGGATGTCTCTTTAATAATACATATCTTAAGTAATATATAGATATACTACTTTTCAGTCAACTTTAATCAATTATGACATAATGTGAAAGTGCTGACACACGGGTCAAATAAGGAGCTAGCTTCTTACATAACGCATGTAGCGGGATCTGTTATTTACTGCCGTAATTGTAGTGCAGAGTTCAAGTATAGCCTGAACTTTACTGAGAACCAAAGAGAACGTGGATACCATGTCTTTGTCGGACTAATCTATGAATTTTCTGTCTGATCTATCTTTTATTTACCGTGTAACGAAAGTGTAAGACTATCCACTACTCCATATTGTCCCGTGGGTGCCGTAAGAGGCGACAGAGGGAAACAAACTAGGAGATGAGCAACAGCGTCTTCATAGAAACAACTTGTAAATAAGAAATTGCGTTTGCCAACCCGCCTGCCAAGCGTGCCAACTATGGAAATTCTTCTTATAAGGCTTAATATATGGGGAGGTCTATGTTAACAACTTTAAATAATCTAATGCATGGAAAGAGAATTCGTATCAATTTTAAGTAATTTCTGATTCCGTACTGAAAGTTTATCATAAATGTAAAAAAAAAATCAAGTGTCTTCAAATTTTATGTTTTAGTCAAAAGTTTTCTGAGATGTTGCTCGTGTTATATCACAAAATGGCTTCCGTACATATCACAATGGCGGAAATAATGCCACCAAGCTTTTGTACTGAATAGGCGCAGTTACGTAATACGCCATAAAAGATGCATATCTTCAATTCAAATGACGCCATTTGAATTATTTATAACGAAATTTTAATTATATTAGAAAGTGAAAATGAAAATAAATATCGAGTGTTCGAGAGAAAAGAGTTTTGAGTTTTCATGGTACAATACAACAAAACAAATTTGCCATGAATAAAATAGATTTATAAAATTATTCCAATAAATATTATTGCTTACACGGCGGACAATAAATCTATCTAGTTTTAAATTCAATCTATTTTATTTCATTAAAAATTGATACTAAGTATATGTGCATAAGAAAATTGTTCTTTATTTAATAATTAATAGGATTATGGAAATTATTTTAGTAACTTTTTTTTAAACACGGAAGAGTTTAGCTCTTGTATCGCAATTATTACTTATGTACTTACGATTTCGAATTAATTAGCAACTTAAAATATAGATTGTTTTTAACAATGTATTTTATGGTATTTTGTAAAGTTTAGTAGTTTTGCTTAGTATGTCGTATATTGTGATCGTATATCGAGCTGGTCGGTTCATATGGGACCATGATATTATATCGTGGCATTGTCGGAAAATAATATGCAAGCAGTAAAAGTTTTATGAGCGAAACATTGTTTGCATACAGAAGCTGCGATTTGCAAGTTGTATGCATGGGTCAAATGTAACATTTATAGTCTGTAACTGAGATGGGCATTACTCTGTGGTTTATGTTTTAATGGAACTTTTTAAAGCTATTTATTATTATCATTGTCATATAAAACTAATGATTTACAGCATAATAATGAAATGTCTAAATTTGTGAATATGAAATTACTAATACCAACATGATGCAACTATACATACATACATAACCTCTCACCAGTCACCCAAAGGGATAAGCAGAGACCACGGACTTCCATTTGGCACGATCGATATACACACTGGTCGGTTAAGGTTTACTTATAATTTGGACCATTTTCATTATAATCTCCTATTTAGTCGATGAAGTTCTGTCTAAAGTGTCCCTTACTGACTTTGCAACTTACTGAAGTAATTAACAAATACAATTAAAGGCTCAATTTTTTTATTAATTCCTTAAATAATTCTTAATGATTTATATTTGTTTGCGTTTTTTTCTCAATGTCTTTGTTTTGTTATCAGTTTGTTATCTGTAAAATTGTAAGCGCAGTATTAAACTACCGCTGCATGAATTCATTATGAAAGGTTATTAAAAATATAATGAGGATCCTCCATAACAATATATGTTGTCACATTAAAATTTTATTCGTAATCGGAAATTATCGATTCAGTACACGCGCCTGGCGTGCTTAGAATCGATTGGAATAGTTAATATCGATTACAATATTCTATCGAGTGTGAATAGCGATTATTTAAAGTGCGTTTGAAGGGACCGCATCGATGACTGCTCACTTAGTTATTTAGGTTATGGCTGTTCTAGAAAATTCTTAGTACTATGTACTATGCACTTTTGTTGGAGAACTTGACTGTTTAATTTTATTAAGTAATGAATTTGTCTGCTACATATCAAACAAAGATTCAAAAAAAAAATTCAAAAGTCATTTTAGTGAATCTTGTAATAAAAATAAGTTTTAAACATGCTGCATTAACTTGAGTGAAAGTAATGACAGTAGAAGTAGTTATGCAGAAAAAAATCCCACTCGTTCTCGGGTATATCTTACGTACTTTCTTATAGTAAAATTCTAGCGAAAATGCCAGACAATTACAATTAAAATCGTAAACGAAAAAGAAAGCCACCTTCATAGAATACTGATCCAATCTGAACAAAAAGCGTCATGAACACTAAGCTTTTTGTGGGTTGAATAATTTTTGCATTAGCTATGTCCAATTATTTTCAAAGTATTTTTGTCAGTACATGAATTTATGAGCAGATTTACTCATAATTATTTCTTATATTTACGCGAACATGTCACAATGGCGGAATGTAATTGATTTCCCGACGTTTCAGGTCCCCGGGTAATTAAAAAGTTAAAATTAAACGCGATAAAATCCGCAACTAGTTTCATTTAACATATTCGCTCATCTTATTAACCTTCCGCGGCATTAATAATATTACCTATATATTCGAGTTAATACCGTTATTAACGATAACGATTCTAATAACGCAATGTAACGTTAATATTAAATAAAGTTACTCGATGCAGTTACCATAGACGCCGTTCTAACGTGAACTAGTACAATCTCCGGCCAATATAGCGCGCGATGGTAGCGACAGGTTGACCTCTGACCCGTGCCCAGAGCTAGCCTTTGATATTTCACAACTTGGTGAGGGGAAAATTAAATGTTACATAATCGAAGTATTTGTATACCAAGCGATCACAATATCGAGATGCGTATCACGCGCGTTAATTATTACGTTAGGAAACATGCCTTACACCACAATCATATACATTTTCATTTATGGATATTGTGATAGGGCTTTAAATAGAATACTCGTAAGTTTGTCTTCGTCAGCCGTAAGGATTTGTCTATATTATATAATTTGATCGAAAAGAAAAGGAATATATTTCCTCTGCATTGAAGGCAATATATTTATTTACAATATTAAACGTTGAATAATACCGTAATAAAATGAAATGAAATGAATACCGCATTGAAATTTTAATTTAGTTTGTAAATTTTTTTTTCAATCTGCTTCTTTTTCTGTGGACCTTTAGATTGGAGTCAAAGATGTTTAATTTTAATTAATATTCTGTGAACACATATTAAGTAAAGTTTAATATTAGTGGAGTATCAAGCAAAATACGCGCTTTGGATCTAGAATTGGGAAAAATCGCGCTTTGCAAACTACTCGTAACTGAAATAGGCGAGTTCAAACATCTAAAAAACCCTTATTCTATGAAAAAAAAAACTACAAAAACGCGCATTAATCATGGGCTTTTATGATGATTTTAATAAAAATACCGGATCATAGTCAAGAAATTTTTGGATTGTCATCGTTTCCTGTAAAATTACTGTAAAATACGTCTGTACAATTTCAGATTATTCAGACGTTCGTAAGTTGGTAACACTGACTAAAAATTACATAAATTCATACATACGTACATACATACATTCATGTCGCTTTAATAATAGCGTGTTAACACGCTTATTAAAGCGACAGCTTTAGCATTATCATTAATTTTATGATTTTTTTCTGTTCATCGCGTGGTCTAAAGGCGTATTAGCCGCGGATTTTGGGCTCGAACCTAGAGAGAAATGTCTGTTTTTTATATTACGGTAAGAAAATTGGAATAAAAAATTTCTTATTTTTAATAATAAATAAGTGGCGGGATAAGAATATCCACTACCCCATATCATCCTGTAGGTGTCCTAAGAGGCGGCAGAGGGAAACAAATTAGGAGATGGGCAAATCTCGTTATTGTGATAACGACTAAAACTACGATTGGAAATCCACTTGCCAAGCGTGGTAACTATGGTTGCCATAGTTGCCACGAGGCCTTGTTCAGCAGTGGACTTCAATAAGCTGTAACGGTAACGGTATTCTTAATAATCTACGAATCCGATATTATATTGTTCGAATATTTTCTCTTAAATATATAATACGCAAATAGTTACAAGAGATACCCCCAACGAAATCACGATTGTTAAATTTATTTTATTGGTGTTTATCCGCGTTTTTCTTAAAAAACATCGCCTCAATACGAACGACGTTGCGTGTAAGTCTATATCTAGGGCGAAAGCTTGTTAATGTTATATTCTTTACCTGATCACCTGAATAGATATGGCCGCATTAAAGACAATGCTTTCTCGTTAAAAAAAAAAACAATTGTTTTCGCCGCGTTTTCGGGTTTCATCTTAAAATTTAAATATTTGAGAAAGTTAATAAGATAATTTTTTTAAAGTTATCATTTGTGAAAGTAATCAATATGTACCTACGTAATAAAAATGAAGAAGATTTAAAAAAAAAACAACTAGTGTTGTATCCGTTCGGAAATCGATTCGAGTGCATGCAGATAATGATAAATATCGAACATATTTTTACTGTTTATCATGTAATTTTTAAACACATTATCGCGATGCACTAGACGATTTCGGAATAACACAGCACTTGTCACTTGTGTACACTTGCACGGCACTACACTGCACTTACCGCTACGAAGGCTTTCATGATGCTTAGCGATGGGTCACTTGGGTTCGCAGTGAACTAGTGTGATGTGCTTCGGACTGTAACATACCTCTATATAGCAAATGCTCGGCCGCGGTGGGGCGGAGAAAGGATAGATTTAGTTGTGCAAGCAAGGGAGATTCTGCCATCGCATAGGAAATTGTCTAATTAGAGGGCGTCATGCGATTTTTTTTTCGGTTTTCGGGCATCGATGTGAGGTCGAAGGTTGATGTAGTGACCATTGGTGGATCTGAATCGGTACACACAGTTACAGCTCGTGTTACAATGATATTAAGGTAGAATTTCGGTTATTTTCTTAACTTCTGATAAAATAGTTTCGATATTAAAATCTGAACCTAAACTAATCAAGTATAGAAAACATTTTTTTTTAATTGCACGAATATATCATACAAAAAATAATTTATTATCCAGGTATAATAATTACAAATAATCCCTCTTTAAATATTTGTCTCATAATTATATATAATTTTACTTTGTTTTTTTAATAATTAATAACTTGCTTTTCAATCGACTTCAAAAAAAGGAAGAGGTTCTATATTTTTATTTATGTTCACTCTTTTTACACAAATGCCTGAGCCGATTATAATGAATCTTTTTTTTATATCTATTTAATAACATTTAGACGTTCGTACGAAGATTCACTGCCGTAAATCGTCTTGAGCGTGACAGAGGGAAACAAATCAACAGAAGGGCAGCAGTGTCTTTTTAGAATAGAATATATTTTTATTCAATAATGATCACAAGTAATTCCTATTGAAAGTCAATTTTTTACTTTACCACAACTTACTTACCTTACCTTTTACCCTAACTTACTTTCTTATAACAACTATAAAATTAAAATAAAAGCCGCCTACCACCGTGGCAACTATGGCAAATATCTCCCTTACAGGTAAGGTAATGTAATAATGCGTGATGCAAACAATGGCAGAAACCTATGTTCAGTTGTGGACATCGTAACATAGGTTGTAACGGAAACGGTCAAATTTTAAGGAGCCATTTAAATTTGATGAAAATTACGGAATGAAGTTTGTAATTACTTAAGTTATGCTATCCATCCATTCATTAAAGGCTATATAATGCCACTGGTGAACATGGCCTGCTCCATAGATTGTCTTGTAGGGGGGATTTTGCATCAGTTGGCAGGCGGGTTGTCAACCGCAGTTTTTAGGGTTCCGTAGCCAAATGCCAAAAAACGGAACCCTTATGGGTTCATCATGTCTGTCTGTCTGTCTGTCCGTCCGTATGTCACAACCACTTTTTTCCGAAACTATATGAAGTATGCTGTTGAAACTTGGTATGTAGTTGTATTCTGTGAACCGCATTAAGATTTTCACACAAAAATGAAAAAAAAAAACAATAAATTTTGTATACTTGTATAAATACTTAGAACTGAAATTCAAAAAAAATTTATAGATAGGTTTTGAAAAAAAAGAAGAAAGGTTCTCGAGTGGCAGCCTCGTACCGGTAGGCGAAGTGTAGGGCGTCCCCCCACGAGATGGAGTGACGACCTGGTAAGACATGCAGGAAGTCGATGGATGCAGGTGGCTCAGGACCGTGCTTTGTGGCATTCTTTGGGGGAGGCCTATGTTCAGCAGTGGACTTGTGAAGGGCTGTAATGATGATGATGATGAGGTTTTCAAAAATTATATTGAGGTTTTTAATATCATTTTTTTCTAAACTGAATAGTTTGCGCGAGAGACACTTCCAAAGTGGTAAAATATGTGTCCCCCCCCCCCTGTAACTTAAATAAGAGAATGATATAAACTAAAAAAATATATAATGTAAATTACCATGTAAACTTCCACCGAAAATTAGTTTTGTGGCGGCGCTGTCGCTGTATATTGTATATAGAATAACTCCGAACTACAACTCGGAGCGTTGAGGGCCCCCTGTACAGAACACCTTGCCCGGCGGGAGATCTCCCCTTTTCCATCCACTTGCTACAGTGGTGACCCCGACGTGATATGAACACGTAACCAACAACCTTCGGAAACTACAACTACCAAACCTTCGTCATCGTCCTCAAGTACCCCATTCATTCGCTCCCGAGCAGTTATTGTCTGCAGTCTTCACATTCTGCAAGCCTTTACAAAGGTTCATCGCAGCACTGGAATAATAATGCTTCCTGTTCCTTCAAGCTACTCTCTGCGCTACAGTGTTCGGCACGGCTCTGAGCCTTACTGCTCGCCTCTGCTTCACGGCACTCTCGCAGATAACTTGCCTTCTTCTCGACCAACCGCAGACTTACAAGGCAATCCCCTGGCACTTGCAAATTCGTCGACATCTAGACTGCACTATCGACCTCCGGTCTGAGCAGGGGGGTGATGTGGCGGCGCTGTCGTCGCGCCACAAGCGAATCACATCGAAGCCTAAATCGCGCTAACAAAGTTCCGAAATTAAAGCAGTATATATAGAATAGCTCCGAACTACCACTCGGAGTATTGGCCGCTCCCCGGGCAGAACACCTTGCCCGGCGGGAGATCTCCCCTATTCCATCCACCCGCCACAGTTTCAACGAGATCTAGTAAGTAGTTTTTTTTAATACGTCATAAATCGTAAACCGCAATTTAACTTTCACTCAATCAACTCAAATATAAAAAAATACACTATTATTAAAACATTGATCAAAGTTACAACGAACTTCAAGAACTTTTATATTATGTTACTTGCTACTACGGAACCATTCATGGGCGAGTCCGACTCGCACTTGGCCGCTTTTATTTATTATTTTGAGCTGTTATCAAGCAGATGCTGCTGCCCATCTCCTGTTTCAGTATCCCTCTGTCGCCTCTTACGACACCCACGGGACGATATGAGGTAGTGGACATTCTTACACCGCCATTACACGGAGAAGGATCACGTTCTCACAAATACCAGCATAATACGGCTGTGTTTCGTATGGTGAGTGCAGAGAAATGGAGACCTTTGTTACTGGTGATAAAACACCCATCTTAGTCCTCAGGGCTGACAACGCATCTGCATTTTGATTCTTAATAGAGGATATATGTAAATATTTATGGAGGATCAAGTGGAATATTTGCTTGTAGTATACAAATGTGATGTATGCATTATAATGGTTTCATCATGAATGGGTCGGTTCTCATAAATATGTACACCGTACATGTGTTTCGTGTGGTGATTGTAGAGAAACGGAGACCCTTATTGCTGGTGACAAGCAACCCATCTTAATTCTCAGGGGTGACAACGGATCTACATTTTGATTATTAATAGATGATAGAGGTGGGTTTTTGTGTACGATTAAGTGGACTATTTTCTCGTTGACTTTTATTTCTATCATCCTTTGCAGCCCATAAAAGTCCACTGCTAAACATAGGCCTCCCTCATAAATTGTCTCATGGGTTGATTTTGACATAGTTGCGCATACTTGGCAAGCGAGTTGGCAACCGCAGTGTTTATAATTTTAAGTTGTTATCAGGAAGATGCTGCTGCCGTCTCCTGTTTCAGTATCCCTCTGTCGCGTCTTACGACACTCTCGGGACGATACGGGGTAGTGGATATTCTTACACCGCCACTACACGTTACAGAGTAGAAGATAACAGAAGCTATTATGTGCATTATTTTCTTATTTTTAGTTCTAGACGTTGGTTTTTACATTTTATAAAATTTAATTTTAATTAATTAGAATCGAAAGCAGTCTTATTGTTAAGGGTTGTTTATTTAAAGTATTTTAAAAATCTTGGTTCGTCCTTTAGTTCGAATAGTTAAACTTAATATCTATATAAGAGGAATAATATTGGTTTTAAACATATTTCACTTTACAATAATTTTATTTGTACAATTGTTATATGAATTTTCATAGAACCAGCATGGTGGTGATCATCTCATTCCCAGGGGTTATTTTCATTCATGTATTCCTTGATATTGTAATAAATTTGTACAATTTTTCTTTAATAAAACTTTTAAACTTGTTTATTGAAATAATTTCAACAATTAAAAAATAACCGCTGCAGTACAATAGCTACTGGATTGGAAAGGATACAGTATTAACATTAATTCCAAATACTATTAATTGAATTTAAATTGCATGTGGACAAACATCCAAACCCGAAACAATTATAGTCATCCGCTAGAGCATGTACAGTCCGCCATAAGAACATAGGCCATAGTAAAATCCCCCTATGACTCTTCTTCAGTCTTGCTTGCGCTTGGCAGGATTGGCAACTGCAGTTTTTTTTGTTTTGAGTTGGAAGATACTGCTGCCCATTTCCTATATCCCCTTCTTACGTCATCTCGTAGGTGTACAATATGAGGTAGTGGACACTGTTACACGACCACTAGCCATACAAACACCCAATTACTTGCGGTATTCTAGCACGCAACAGCGTTGTAGGTAGCTAAACGTATAGCCTGCACTCAATGGCCAGTATCTTATGTCAGCTCAAAATAAATTTTGTTTTGCCCCTAAAACAAAAACAAGTGCAACGAATGCATTATAATATGTCAAGAATACTGGATACCTGCCAACATCCTGTCCGTATGCGAGGCTAAGTGATCCACATCATGTCCTGAATTAATAACGAAATCTCGATGAGTCAGAAGCCATCACGTGTGTGCGATGCCGGAAGTATCTCAACAGTGGTTGGCTAAAAGTCCATCGACCCTTCTCTTTCTACGGTCGGTGGAATTTGACTAAACGAGGGTTCGATAGATGTCGGAGTAATCATAAAAATTTCTAGATCTAGACGTTCTCAGAAAGGTAGTTGAAAGCAGTTTCTAAGGTGTTACCGTTACCGTTACAAGTACTGTTAAAGTTCACTGCTGAACACTGCCTCCAATAGATTGCCTCATAGGGATATATTTGCAATAGTTGCCACAATTGACAAGCGGATTATGAATAGCAGTTTTTTTTAATTTTAGTCCATAGTAGGAAGACGCTGCTGCTCCATCTTCTGGTTTGTTTCCCTCTGTCACCTCTTCCAACATCCACGGAATGATATGGCGTAGTATTTTTACATCGCCCC